AAAAAACATCAAATTTGAAATGTAACGCAGGGAATTCTGGGAATGTAAATTTACGGTTATTCACTGTAAATTACAGTCTTTTTCACTTCCAAAAACGGTATACTACCGTAAAATGAATGTCCAATACATGTAATGTCCAATACAGTTTTTCACCGTATATAGTAGGGGAATTTACCGTTAACCATTTAACAGGTTTTTACTGTAGCATTTTTACAGTCTTTTACCGTTAAATTCAAGGTCATTTTTTACAGTGTACAGTAGCCTAAGTGTCTAAAACACACGTGTACATTTCATCTGAATGATCAAATTCGCGCTCTGTAACTTTATTTTATTAAACTGTGCGAAGAACTGTTTGCTGAAATCATGACCACATTATCACTTTAAAAAGAGCGCTGTACACGTTAACTTGCGTGCGTTACTGTAGCAACAGTTGATTCCCGGTGTTCTGACTATTTGTGCTACCTATCAGATTTTGCTTCCAGCATGATATTAATAAGGTGTGAGGCTTTATTAACATGTACACCTACCCCAACCCTAAACCTACCCTTACAGTAGGATAAATACAGTGTTGGTAACATAATCTGATAGGTAGCATTATTTGTCAGAACACCTGGCGCGGTTTTCAGTTTTCTTGGGTGTGTTATAATATGAAAACATGGGCTACAGGTTATTTCATTCTGAATCCTCCGTGTATCAGACATTAAAAATGTTAATGTTTATTACAACCCCTTTGGTGGACACTAGACCACCTCAAACTGAATGAAACCTTTTATATATTTAGAGAGAGAGAAAGAGGCAGAGATGTTCAGCATGGTAAAAACACCTCTTGCAATTAAATATTCTGTATTGTATTACGAATCATACAAGTCAGGATTAAAAATCTCCTAAAATGTGCTACAACCCTGTTGAAAAAATCAGCACATGCTGGTTAGGTATGTTTTGACGCTGGGATGCTGGTTTAAGCTGGTCCTTTGCTGGTTTAAACTGGTCATTTGCTGGTTTATGCTGGTCATTTTGCTGGTTTATGCTGGTCATGTGCTGGCAAAGGACCAGCAAAAGGACCAGCATAAACCAGCAAAGGACCAGTTTAAACCAGCATTCCAGCGTCAAAACATACCAGCATATGCTGGTTTTTTCAACAGGGAAGGCATCTAAATGATGAATAATCTCTCCCTCTTCTCAGCTTGGAGTGGCAACAACAGTAAAAAATGTGCAATTAAGAAAATTATTACACATATGGCTTGGGGGAATAGTGGGATACGGATCAATGGCTGACTGGCAGAGGAAGTAAGATGATCCACAACCAAAACTTAGTATTAAAAATTATGTGACAATGCTACATTAAAACATTTACGTAATAAATATTTGCAGCTGAGGTACCTCAGTCTGTAAGTAGCCTACCAAAGTAAAAGTTGATGACAGATGATAATCTTTCATTTTCACAGTTCATGAATAATTATTTTACCTGGATCTCTCCTTCCATGATCCCAAGCAGTTTCAGTAGGTTGTCTTTGGACAGATCTCTGAGCCCAAACATTTGGTCATCATTCTGTGCTGATTTATCTTCCCTATTAGGTCCGATTTTCTCTTCATCATCCACATGTGTAACCTCGATAGTCTTTTCTGTCTCCAGCATTTTCTCCTCCTCTTCTTCTTTGGCATCATGTGAAGTTTGCGTGACAACCAGAACTTCATTAATCATACTGTCCGCTGTATTATCTTTGGACCTCATTTTCCTCCTGAGGAAAGAAGCCGATTTTAAAGGGCACATCGGATACAAAATTCACTTTTACAATAGAGTTGTTTTAGATGTACAGATAACTTGCTGCTGTGTTTAATAAATTATGTTGTTAAAATAACATTCTGTTCCGTTAATGCATTGGTTTATTTAGCTACATTTCAGTACACCACATTAAGTAGGCCACTTAGTACTTTGAATGTTAAAGTGCAAATTAACACCTCACCACACTTGTGTTGTGGGGTTGCTACTGTTACAATTAAAAATCGTAGAAGGGTAAAAACATGCCAGGCGGACATTGGTATGATGTAAGCAACAGAGCTACAACAAATAAAACTGATAATGGGTATGTTAGATTTAGTGTGCGAATAATCAAGCATTGACAATAATAATCAGTCGTATTGGAGGCACAGAGGGCCCCCAAAATAAAATTCTGCTTAGGGCCCCATTCAAGCTTGGGCTGGCCCTGCTGACAGTGTATGATTTACATTAACATTACAGAATAGAACATGATCAATATGAACTTTTAACGTTCAATTTAAATAAATGTAATTGCACAAACTATGTAGGCTACACTTTCTATTTGTTTGTGAAATAACTCAAACATATATTTTATTTTCTGTCCTCTGATAAGCATTGTTCTGGGCTGCTGTTCCCAAAAGCATGAACGCTTCCTACTTTTGGGGAAAGCATCCCTGTTTGAATGCACTGTCAGAAGTGAGTGAACGCTCTCTGAGATTGATTGGTTCAGTCTTGCAGCATTTGCGTGTGTACAGATGAGCATGAAATTCGTAAAATTCAATGCATATTGTATTATTTTTTGTTAATTAAACAAAATCACTGGTATATAAAACACACCTTAGTATCGATATTTTTTATTTGAGTATCGATACTTGCATCAGTATCGATATATCGATACTTCGGGATCGATTAATACGCCTATCCCTACTGTAAACAGTCCGCTATTGTTTGGACGCCGGAGCACGTGAAGACAAGAATGGCTCCTAAGCGATTGAGGTGTTTTGTTGTTGGATGTAATAATGAACATTACAGTCGTCATTTACTCCCGACATCTGAGCCGCTGAAGGAACAGTGGATTACTTTTGCTTTTAAAGGGAAAGCGCCCCCCGAGTATCGATACTTGCATCAGTCTCGATATATCGATACTTCGGGATCGATTAATACGCCTATCCCTACTGTAAACAGACTGCCGTTGTTTGGCCGCCGGAGCACGTGAAGACAAGAATGGCTCCTAAGCGATTGAGGTGTTTTGTTGTTGGATGTAATAATGAACATTACAGTCGTCATTTACTCCCGACATCTGAGCCGCTGAAGGAACAGTGGATTACTTTTGCTTTTAAAGGGAAAGCGCCCCCCGATCTACCTAAATGCGTCTATGTCTGCTCGAATCATTTCACACCAGACTGCTTTGCAAACGAGGGTCAGTACAAAGCAGGTTTTGCTAAAAAGTTGGTCCTGAAGGATGGATCGGTACCAACTGTTTGTGACCCAGCTTCACCTCCAGAAAAAGTGAGTATAAGGTTTTTTTATGAATCTTTGCCTTTCCTCTTCCTCGAAGAGAGGGGCAGGGTGAGCAGAGCTCGTTAGCATTTAAAGAGACATGCACTGAAACTGGAGATGCACCGATTGCAATTTTCTTGGCCGATTCCGCTTTCCGATTTTTTTGTAAGTGTGACCTGCCAATACTACGGTGGCCGAGAAGTGCAGAAAAGCCAACGATACGCACATATCCATCTGCACCACTGGAGCTGATGACTTACAACCACTTTTAACTAAATGTAAATATACACTCCATATTTTTTATTCCATAGTAAGGGCAATTCATACAATACATTTAAACTCAGCTACTTACAAACAAAAAATCTATACTTTTTAATGCAAAAAAATTACTTGCATAATCAAAAATTATTAAACATAATTCCCCCAATCTGGACAAAGTTACAGATGTTCTCTCACTTAAACAACTCTCAAAACAAAGTGCTCTGTGACTAGAAAAGAGGTAGAAATAGCAATTAACTAAAAAGGAGTTGCTGTGTATAACAAAACCGATGACATTTCCCACTGCGTTTCTTAAATTATAATTTTTTCACTAACCTTATTAAATGTCATCTTTCGCATCAAATTCTTACGTTGTTTTTAATTAGGAATAATAAGAAACTGTTGAGCTGTTACCATTCAAATTAAATCAGTATCAGCATCTTTCCACTGCAGCAAACACAGAAGCTGCATCTGAAGTATTAGATGTATTTACAGACTGTTTGATGAAGCAGAGGTGCCATAAATGCATTTACACTGCAAAAATTTAATGCATAAAGAATTTTATAAGATTAATGTTTTAAATATTTTTTAAACACACAAATAAGAAATGTTGGGGGAAAAGCAACGATAGTTTTAAATATGAAACCAAACCAGTAGGTGGCGTCAAATTACCGTTTGAATGAGTGAGTCATTTAGTCCTTCATTCAACAGATTCGTTCAAATGGCCGATTCATTCAGAAACACTGTCTTTATGAACGGGTTACTGAATCATTGACTCATTTGATTCGTTCAAAAACACTGTCTTTATGAACGTGAATTGTTATTTTGTTTTTTAGACTTGCATTTGCATTTGTAATTTGTTATTTTGTTTTCAGAATTGTTATTTGTTTTGCACTTCTCGGCCACCGTACAATACCGATTTTTGCCTATTTCGATTTTCTTTCTAAAAACTACAATTGACAGCATATACATTACAAACAAAAAATCTATACTTTTTAATGCAAAAAAATTACTTGCATAATCAAAAATTATTAAACATAATTCCCCCAATCTGGACAAAGTTACAGATGTTCTCTCACTTAAACAACTCTCAAAACAAAGTGCTCTGTGACTAGAAAAGAGGTAGAAATAACAATTAACTGAAAAGGAGTTGCTGTATAAAACAAAACATATGTAATTTCCCACTGTTTCTTAAATTGTCATTTTTTCACTGACCTTATTAAATGTGTAATTTTTCACATCAAATTCTTACATTGTTTCAATTAATTCAGTTAGAATAATAAGAAACTGTAGAACTGTTACTCCATCAACTCCATCAACTCCATCTTGAAACGCATAGAAGCTGCATCTGAAATGGCATTAGATGTATTTACACACAGACTGTTTGATGAAGCTGAGGTGCCATAAATGCATTTGCACTGCAAAATTTCAAATGCATAAAGAATTCTATAAGATTAATGTTTTAAATATTTTTTTAAACATACAAATAAGAAATGTTGGGAAAAATACAATGACAGTTTTAAATATCAAACAAAACGAGTATATCAAACAAAACCAGTAGGTGGCGGCAAATGACTGTTTGAATGCATAAAAACTTGGATTCAGTAAAGAAACACCGCCGTGTTGCTCAGGACAGAGACACAAAACAGTTCTGCTGTGGCTTTGATGGGAACTGTTTTCATCAGCGAAATTGAGCAAAAATATTGGGCCTCATTCAATGAAAACATGAAACATTCATAAATATAGGAGTAAATTCTGAGTAATTTGCGCGTAAAACAGACCTTCCCGAAAACTCTCCTCCGGATTCACAAACGCTTCGTAAACGTCCGATTTGATAGTTAAACATGTGTATGTTAATGCATTCCAATCATTCGTAAATAGGGCGCTCGTGCACGCTCATTCACAATTAGCATAATCCCCGCCTATAATTACAGCTACGCAAATTGCGTGTCCAGAAACGCAGTGGAATATTCTGGTCTACTTTCTCAGGTTTGGCTCCAGTATATTGCATAAATGCTAAAAAGACTAATAGGCCATATGCCTAACAATAAATATTCAATAACGTGTGTCCACCAAAGCGTTTTTAGCCAGCTGAAAAATGTCAGGTGCTCTTCTGAAAACGGCCAGCTGGTGGCGCTTGAGAACGCTTTGGTGGCACAGCCTTTTTCCAGCTGAGACGCTTTGATTGCTGTGATATTACATAGATTACATTACAAGTAACGTATTACTAGTGACGTGACGTGACGTGACATGTGGCCAAGTATGGTGACCCATACTCGGAATTCGTGCTCTGCATTTATCCCATCCAAAGTGCACACACACAGCAGTGAACACACACACACACCGTGAACACACACCCGGAGCAGTGGGCAG